TTTCCAGGAAGTCAACCAATAGATGCTAAAAATAGAATTCAGAGAAAAATAGGGTATCTACATAAATATCAGTCCTATCTTTGCCATTGGTGACTGATACTATGAAGAAATGATTCACTTTCTTGGTCCTAGGCTATATAGAATGAGTGAATTTGAGTAGATAGACCCAAGAGTCCCCTCCAGCTCACATTTCCACAGAAATAGCTACTTCCCATGTAATTATTAGGAGTATAACTAGGATTTGTTCTTTTGAGAGGCCTTTCCAGCTAGGTAGGTGCTTCTTTCACCCCAAGGCAAACTGGACCCACTCCAACATGGTAGTGGGGTATATATGGTTGGGATGATGCAGCAAGAATTTCCACCTGGGGCTCTGAGTCCCAAAGGTATGCACCCTTGGTTGCCATGGCCAAGTGCCTGTTCCCGTATCCTTCATCCAATCCATACCAACTTCCATAGTTATGCGTGGAGATGGCACATCTAATTATAGTGAATCTTTAGGCTTGTACTCCAAGGTTGGGGAACCTTTTACAAGACTTCTGGCAATGCCTGCCCACCTCTTGAACAATTGGACCAGAAGCACTCCCTTAGGGGGAAGAGGCAAAGATCTTATTTACAGGAGAGGGAGAGGGAGGGGTAGAGGAGGGGTAAGAAAGAAGAAACAGTAAAAGACAGAGAGAGAGTACAAACATCTAGTTGGGATCCCTTTTTGCACAAGGAAAGAATTTCACTGTTTCTTTTCTTCCAAATAAGCTTGCTGTTATATTTTAAAAAACAAAAACAAATTCTTTCCTTTATTCTTGCTCTGTTTTAAACACTTTGTTGCCCTTTAATTCTTTAATCAGCAAAGAAAACAAATCTGAACTCTAGATGGTCTCCCTCCACTTCCACTTTCTCCTTTCTTTTCCCTTATTATGATAGATTTCTCTAGGAAGAGAATTAAGAGTTCTTTTTGTGAAAGAAAGACCTAGAAAGTTGGAAATGAGGGGAAAATGAGTAGTGAAACTCCTACTATGAACTACTACCCCAGGTTGCTATGGGGTGAAGGAAGCAAGAGAGGAAAACATTTCCTGTGAACAGCACAACAAGGAGGGAGATGCTTGGATGGCATGGGAGCACTGGAAACTAAGAGGTAAGCTGGCTGTCTTCCACGCCTGGGTCTCCCCAGGCCACCACTGTGTATGACTTACTGTGATCTCACTCTTCCTCTCTCTCTGAGTGTCAGGATTTAAAGCCTGTCTCCCACTGAGCAGGGAAATATGTTCTGCAGTCTGCGAGAGGGGACCTCTCTCTTTTCATAAAGTGGTCCTTCGTGGGCAGCTACAAAGAGACACAAAGCTCTCCTCCAATGACTCAACTTTCCAACTCAGCTTGACCAATGGGAGCTCAACTTTAACTATGACCTCAGGAAATCTGGCTTCTAATCCTGTTTCCTGTCTTTGAAGATTTGTGTTTGGAACAAAGGTCTTGACATTTTTATGCCATGAGAGTTTTAAGAAAACACCTGTCATTCAGGTTGCTAAATTGTTGTTGGTTCAATCTAACAAACAGATTGCTTGCTCTCACTCTGTCCCTTGTCCCTACTGTCAGATTCTCAAGGGAGTTCAAGCAAGTCAGCACTGGATTTGTTTTCCTGTCTGGGCTCATTGACAAGGATATTTCCCAGCTCTTCCCTGTACCTACCGACTACCACCTAACAAAAACCTGAAGACTTTTGATTGAAGAACAATCTGAAGGCCCTTTCATTAGACAGGCACCAAGCACACCAAAAAATACATCACCAATAGACAGCTTGCCTTTTCTACAGACAAGAACTTAAATGAACTTAAATTCCACAGACAAGAACTTAAATTTATATTTTCAAGATTTAAACCAAGAGCTTTAGATTCATATACATTCATAGTAATCAGATTGTACACTGACCTTAACAATAACAGTTATAAGCTACAATGTTTTTTTTCCGAACAGAAATTTCTATGTTACATTTCTAAAATAGTTCTTTTCACTTTCCATCAGTTCTCATCCAGATTTCCAAAGAAAGAAAAATAACTTATTTCTGAATGAGTCTAATGCCTCTAGATGTAGAGGATAATTCATGATGCTTCTTTGCAAACCACTTCCCTTTTCCTTTCTGCACAGTCTTGTAGTGCAGTGGAGTGTAACCTGAACCAGATTTCTTAAATCACTCTTTCCCAGGGATTCTTACACACCTGGAAGTGGGGGTCAAGTGATGAGAGACAGAACATGAGCCAATTCTTGGTTAAGTAGGACTATTTTTTGTACTCTCATCTCTCTACTAGCAGGAGAGAGATTTTGTCATGCACACTTGAAAATAAGCAATCATTTGCAAACATGTTGATTATGGATGACCTATCACTTTTTCTCTACAGATTTTCCCCATAAGATGACTGACATCCTTGATAGAATATTTTCAATGTGAGAAGCTAGTTCTCCCCCCATGAGTGGGTAAAAAGTCATTTACAAAACAAAACCAATAATAATGACAAAATTGAATGGATAAGCTTCCAAGGAAATACAAGGGGCAGGGTTCTCTCCCTGGCCGTTTGTAAAAGGACATTTTGCAAGGACATTTCTTGGCTCCATTTTGAGTGAGAGTCTGGCTACTCCAAAAAGGAAAAAGCATTGTGGGATGACTACAAGAGCTCATTCTCTTTTTTTTAATTTTTGTTGGTCGTGGGGCCTGAACTGGCACTGTCCCTCAGCTCTTCAGCTCAAGGCTAGTGCTCTACCACTTGAGCCACAGCACCACTTCCAGCTTTTTCTACTTTTGTGGTACTGAGAAATCGAACCCAGGGCTCATGCATGCAAGACAAGCACTCAAGCACTGAGCCATCTTCTCAGCCCCAAGAGCTCATTCTCTTACAGGACTCTGTTCACTCCAGAGTAGGAGGCAGATAGGAGGTTCAATCATCTATAAGGTGAAATCTACTTTTGAAGAAAATTTTGAGCATTGCTTAAGAGCTAGAAGGAAAAGCAGATGTCTGAAGCCCATTCATGGTTTTTTTTCTTTTTTTCCTTAAAAATACTGAAGCAAACAAATAATAGGATTATTTTTAGGAGAATTTAGACGTCTAGATGAACTTACCTTTCCCTGGCCAATATCCTAAGAAAATTGTCCAGACTGGGTTGGGCATTCAAATTGTGAAAGAGAATCACTTATTATAAGATATATCGACGTTATGCAGACAGACACAAACCAATATATAGATAGCTAGCTGAGCTCCAAATACAAACTACAATATACAAGGCCATGATCTTTCATCAAGCTTTGTAGACTTTGTCTTAATTTAGCACATACTTTGTTTTCACCTTAGGCTAAAATTAGATGTGGGCTTATCCAAAGCAGGAATATTGCTTGACAATCTTTGTGGTCTAGCCCCAGAGCACTATCTGAATTCAATAAATGCCTAATTGTATTGACTTTCAAAATGATTATATTAGTAGTGGCAATTAAGATAACTAACAAGAATACAAATTGTTCATGTTTTTATATATTCTATTTTATTCCATTCATGCAATGCATGGAATAATGTATGGAAAAACTCACTGTTATTAAACCATAGAGCTGGACACTGGTAGCTCACACCTGTAATCTAAGCTACTCAGAAGGGCAGCCCAGGCAAAAAGTCTATGTGACTCTTATCTTCAGATAATCAGAAAAAAAACAGAATTGGGGCTGTGGCTCAAATGGTAGAGCTCTAGTTTTGAACAAAAAAGCTAAGAGGGAGTGGAGAAATAGTGATAGCAAAATAAATATAGGGAAAAGCAAACCTTGACACACCACCAGACAAGTACAATTTGGCTTAATGTTTATTGAGATTAATTTTGTGGTACATAATATCTAAAAAATATACATGTGGGGCTGGGAAGGTGGCTCAGTGGTAGAGCGTTTGCCTTGAATGCTTGAGGCCCTGGGTTTGCTTCCTCAGCACCACATAAGCAAAAAGAAAAAAAAGCCGGAAGTGGCGCTGTGGCTCAAGTGGGAGAGTGCTAGCCTTGAGCTAAAGAGCTGAGGGACAGCGCCCAGGCCCAGAGTTCAGGCCCCACTACCGGACCCAAAAAAAAAAAAAAAAAAAAAAATATATATATATATATATATATATATATATATATATATATATACTTTGTCAGGAATATTTACTATAATACTCATTTATTACCAAGATCTTATGGTCACAGTTTAAAGCCAGCCTTGGCAGGGAAGTCCATTAGACTCTTACCTCCAATTCACTATCAAAAAGCTTGAAATAGAGCTGTGACTCAAGTGGAAGAGCATTTTTTGCTCTTGAGTACAAAAGCTCAGGGACAATGTCTTAGCTCTGAGTTTAAGTTCCAGGAGCCACGCGTACATGCACTCACATGTGTACACGTGCACAAGCACACACACACACACACACACACACACACACACACAAAGTATTTATTATAGTGCTGTCCATAATAGCTGAAAAACTAGAAGCATCAGAATTCTGAGTAACCCTGTCCTTACTGACATAAAAGTGTCACATTGTATTATTATATAGAAAGATTGGTTTAGTGTTACATTTTATAATTATATAGAAATATTGCTTTCAAAACATTTGTTTATATTTTGCCTTTAAAATGTATGCATCAGGGACTGGGGGGGATGGCTCAGTGGTAGAGTGCTTGCCTTGCATGCACACGGCCCTGGGTTCGATTCCTCAGCACCACATAAGCAGAAAAAGCTGGAAGTGGCGCTGTGGCTCAAGCGGTAGAGTGCTAGCCTTGAGCACAGAGAGGCTCTGGGACAGAGCCCAGGCCCTGAGTTCAAGCCCTAGGACTGGCAAAAAAAAAAAAAAAGTCATCATACCAACTTCCAGACAAGCAGGTCCATCCACCTGAAGCTTGTAATTAAGCCAACTCATCCTCTACTAACTTTAGCAGATAGTTCACCTATGAGGAGGACATGCCTCAAACACACGACAAAAGGAAATTTGAAAGAGAGCACAGTGCATCATTACCTTATGATAAATTCTGGCCACCAAACTCCACTGAAGAACCCCTTCTCAAAAATTTATTGCTTTCAAGAGAAAGGTGAGGTGACCAACTGTGTCCCAGTTAAATGCCAGGAAGCTGTAGGGAAAACACAGTGACTGACCATCATTATCATTACCATCATCATCATCATCACCATCAATATCATCATCACCATTATCACCATTTTCATCACCATCATCATCATTATTATCATTATTGTTGTTTGGGCTTCACCAAAAAATTTCACTGGAAAGAAACATGGGATTTGTTTTTCTTCTCATTCAGTATTTCTCATCCTGTCTCTTGTTGATGGTATACATGCACTTTTTCAATTCATTCTTCAATTTCAGCTTACATAGTTTAGATCTAGTTTATTAGAGATATTTGGTTTCCTGATTATTTTCCACTTTCTATTTACTATAAGTACTGTTCAACATTTTATATAGTCTTTCCTTATTAATAACTATAATATTTGTTAGCAAGTGAGTTTATAATAATGGATTCAACCATTGTTGAATAACTCTTAACACTGAATATTTAGTTCCTGACACAAATTGTATGTCAGTGAATAATATTTATGAAATGCACTGTATATTGGAAATGGTACTAAGTGCTTTGTGAATTGTTCAATAGTCTCAATAATTCAAGGATGCTGATATACCATTGTTATTCAATGTATAGGCCCAGACACTTGGGAGCTAATTTTGTACCACTTACCCTATGAACCTCTAGATAATTTAGATTAAAAGGCAAGGGATTAATTCTGAGTTCACACTCAGCTTTCCTATAGATTGCTCTCCCACTAGAATCTCATTACCTAAAAGTTAAAAACCCAAGTAGCTGTGGTTTAATCAGCGGTAGGAGAGAACTTTTTAGAAGCAAACCAACACCGCACATTAAAAAATTAATATGTATCTTTTATTGTTAAGATACTGTACAGAGTAGTTACAGTTACGTGAGTAAGGTAATGAGTACATTTCCTATGGCGCATTGTGATGCCCTCCTTTGTTTTTCCCCTACCATCCCTTCCCTCTCCACCTCCCCAACTCCTCCCTTCGCCCTCCTCAAATTTATTAAGTTCATTTTCAACATAGTGTCTTGTACATCTCATTGTTACAATGTGTCCTTATTTAAGCATTTTGTTATTTCCCTTCCCCTCCCCAAATTAGAAAAATGTATATACAAGATGCAGGGCACCAGAATCAAATACAGTGAAAATAAGGGTTATATCGTGGGAGAAGAACATACAAAAATATGGAATCCTTCATGAATTTGTATGTCATCCTTGTACAGGGGCCATGCTAATCTCTGTATCATTCCAATTTTAGTATATGTGCTGCCAAAGCTAGCACAACACAGCACATTGAGACCTCCAAATGCTGAATTAGTAATCATCTGTCACATAGACAGGGAAGGCAGATAGGAGGTTATTTTTATTGCCAATCTTTAGGAAACCTGCATTACTGCATGTTCTCAATATTGAGAACTGCTTGTTATCAGTCTGGGCTCATAAGGTTGACTTCTTGCCTCAGTCTATTTAACAGAAGCTGTAAGGAATTTTCATAATTTACTGAGAAGTGTGTTTTAGCTCCTCTAGGATAATTCCTGTGAAAGCTGGAGGTTGTAAAAATTGGTGATGGAAAGCACTAGTATATCTAGGGGTGTTAGTGGATGGTCATTGCTGGAGGCCTGAGGTTGCGAACTGCCTGTGTTCCAGCCAGCACCTCTCCCAGACCCAGCACCTCCCCCTCAGCCCTAGGAACTCAGCTGAAGTAAAACTTTCTAAAAGTAGACATATGGATAGAGGTAACTTCCTTTTAATTATATATTTATAGGAAGGTCAAATGACTCTGTGTGTGTGTGTGTGTGTGTGTGTGTGTGTGTGTGTGTGTGTGTACGTGCTGGTCCTGGGTCCTGAACTCATGGCCTAGCACTGTCTCTGAGCTGTTTTGCTCAAAGCTAGCACTCTACCACTTAAGCTACATTTCCACTTCCAGCTTTTTTGGTAATTAAGTGGAGATAAGAGTCTCACAGACTTTTCCTCCCCAACCAGGCAGGCTTCTAATCTCAATCATTAGATCTTAGCCTCCTGAGTAACTAGGATTACAGCATCCAATAGGTTACCCCCCCTTTTTTTTAATGCAATGAGCTCTTTATTATGGTAAGTACCTTGGGATCAAAGACCACCAATTATTACTCTTTATTGAAGTAAAACTTAGAATAAATGTACATACACAGCATTAGTTAGCAGAGAAATGGAACCCAAAATCCAACAAGATAACTAGACATCCACCAGAATGACTAAAATTAAGTAAACCGACATTAAGTATTTAAGGAGGGTACAGTGAAACCAGAACTCTCCCACTTGCTGATGAAAATGTGAAGTTGTTAAAGAATTTCAGGAAAAGTTCTGTGTAACCAAGAAAAAACATACATCATAATCTAGCAATTCCATGCCTATTATTTGCCCAGGAGGCTTAAAAACAAATATTCACAAGAACTTGTGTAAAAAGGTTCATAGGCATTCTGTTCTCAGGAATGGAAAACTTACAAACATCTCAGGTGTCCACTCATCATCATAAGATAATGGAAAACAATGTTGCTTTGATTTGTATTTCTTTTATGGCTAGAGAAGTTGAGCATTTATTCATGTGTATATTAGCCATTCTTTTTTTCATATATATTTTTTATTGTAAAAGTACTGTACAGAGGGGTTACAGTTACATGAGTAGGGTAATGAGCACATTTCCTATCAAACATTGTTACCTCCTCCTTTGTTTTTCACCTACCATCCCTTCCCTCCCCACCTCCCAATTCCTCCCTCTCCCCTGCTCTGGAATTATAAGTTAATTTTCTACATAGTGTCTTGCACATCTCATTCTTACAGTGGGTCAACCTGTATACGTATTTAAGCATTTTGTTATATCCCTTCCAAAATATTAATGTTGTTTTAGGGCTAGAGACGGTGAGCATTTCTTCAAGTGTCTAATGGCCATTCTTATTTCCTCTTCAGAGAAGTCTCTCTTTAGCCTACTTATTAATTGGGCAGTTGTTTGAGGATTTGTTGAGGAATTTGAGATTCCACTTCACCCTAGTTAAAATGGCTATAATCAAGAAATCTAATAACAATGGATGCTGGAGAGGATGTGGCCAAAAGGGAACCCTAACTCATAGTTGTTGGGAGTGTAAACTTGTTCAACCACTTTGGAAAGCAGTATGGAGGTTCCTCAAAAGACTACACATATTACTTTACTCATGTAACTGTAACCCCTCTGTACAGTATCTTTACCATAAAAATATATTAATAAAAAATAACCCCCCCAAAGACTCCACACAGAGCTCCCCTATGACCCAGCAATCCCACTTTTGGGCATTTACCCAAATGATCACAAACAAGGCCATACTAAAGCTACCAGCACAACTATGTTTATCATAGCATTGTTTACCATATTTAAGATATGGAACAAACTCAGATGCCCCTCCGTAGATGAATGGATCAAGAAAATGTTATACACACACACACACACACACACACACACACACACACACACACACACAATGGAATTCTATGCTTCCATCAGAAAGAATGACATCCCCCCATTTGTTAGGAAATGGAAAGACTTGGAAAAAAGTATATTAAGTGAAATAAGCCAGGCCCAAAGAAACATAGGTCCAATGGTTTCCTTTATTTGCAATAAATAGTAAATGTCTAGGATAATCTCACTAGACAAGCAGAAAAGGTCAAAAGCTATGTACATATGACCATACAAGATGATGCTAAGTGATATGAACCCCAAGATAGGGACACAAGTGGTTTTTTTCTTTGTCGCTGTTGTTTTTAATGTACTATGTGATTTTTTTTGTTTGTTTCTTTTGTATGTTCTTCCCCCATGGCATAACCCTGTTTTCACTGCATTTGATTCTGCACTGTATTTGATTGATGCCCTGCATCTGGTATATACATTTTTCTAGTTTGGGGAAGGAAAGGGAAATAATAAAATTCTGAAACAAGGATACAGATTGACCCATCGTAACAATGAGATGTACAAGACACTATGTTGAAAACAAACTTTACAGCTGGGGGTGGGATGGGGGGCGTTGGGGTGGGAAGGGATGGTAGGGGAAAAACAAAGGAGGGGGTAACAATACTCGATAGGAAATGGACTAACTACACATGTAACTATAACCCCTCTGTACAGTATCTTTACAATAATGTGTGTGTGTGTAGATAATGGAAAACAAATTCTAGCACAGACAAAACAAAATACTACTTATAAGTGAAAAGCAATATATATGTCACCATGGATAAATCTCAAAAAGCATTATGCTAAGTTGCTGAGCCAGCTACAAAAGAATATGGAATAGTGTGTTCCATTTCCAACAGGAAAATCTGATCCATGGTGGAAAATACCAGAATAGTATCTGTCTAGAAGAGTGGTCCCAGGGCTTGAGAAAAATGACCTATCTTAAAAAAATTTCATTGTAAAAGTGATATAAAGATGGCTTACAGTTACATAATAAGGTAATGAGTACATTTCTTTTTGAACAGTATTACCCCCTCCTTCATTTTTTCCCACTTTCCCTGCCCCCAACTCCACTCTTCCCCCAGGTTATAAAGTGAATTTCCAACATAGTGTCTAGTGAGTATCACTGCTGAATTGGTTCACCATTTTCTGTGATTCCCTTTCCCTTCCCCAGATAAACTTCCATAGAAGACAAAAGGTGCAGAAACCAAAAACAGTGACAACAGGGAATAAACCAAAGGAAAAAAGAAATATCTGAAATCAGTACATTAAAAAACCTCTTGTTTCCATTTCTTGGAGTTCATTTCAATAAGCATTATTTTATATGGTCATATGTACATAGATACTGAGCTATTGTGATCCTCTGCTAAGAATATCCTAGATAAATTCTAGTTATTACAAATGAGAGAAACCATGCAACCTACAGTTCTTTGGGTCTGGCTTGCTTAGTTTAATATAATTTTTTTCAAGTCTTTCTATCTCCTTATGAATGGGGTAATGTTATTTCTTCTGATGGAAGCATAGAATTCCATTGTGTATATGTGCCACACTTTCTTGATTCATTCATCTACTGAAGGGCATCTCGGTTGATTCCATATCTTAGCTATGGTAAATAATGCTGCAGTGAACATGGTTGTGCTGGTAGCTTTAGCGTGGCCTTGTTTGTGATGACCTTCATCTTGATAAGTGTTTTGGTGACAGAAGTAAATGCATTTGGCAAAATTCAGTGGGTCTCCATTTCGGATAATCATTCATGTCATTGCATCTAAACGCAACAGAAGACAAAAATAATTATCATCATTGAATATTGAGCTTGGTTAATGATGTTTGTACGGTAGCCAGTTGTGTGTCGGTGTCTGTAGTTTGCTTTGAAGTTTGTAGTTTGTAGTGAAGACAATGAGCAGTGAGTGAGTGAATGAGAGGAAGAACTGATACATGGAATATACAGTCTTTGGCTGCATATCCACTGTAAAAGATGACAGACCATCTGCATGACAGTGATCCTATAGATTATAATGGAATGGAAAATCCCAATGGCTATTGCTTAGTGTCACTGTAGCCATTGTAACATCATAGTGCCATGGGTTAAGGGTTTATGCTGATGCAACTATAAAATAACCTACTGTACTGCTAGTTGTAAAAAACTGTATAACACATAGTCTGTAGTATAACTCATGCCTATTATCCTAGCTATTCAAGAGGCTGAGATCCCAAGGATCCTGGTTCAAAGCCAGCCTGGGCAGAAAAGTTCACTGGAGACCTTATCTTCAAGACAACCAACAGATGGCTCAGATGATAGAGTACCAGCAGGGCAAGTAAGCTGAGCAAGACCATGAGTGCAAGCCCCAGTACTACCAAAAAGAAAGTAAAGCATATGATAGTAGAGCACATTATGTACAATAACGAATACTGAATAATGATAATAAACAATTTTATTATTGGTTTATTATTACTTTAGTGCATACTCTAAAAAAAATATCTTTAAAAGTTTACTGTCTTAGGGTGCTGGTGGCTCATGCCTGTAATCCTAGCCCTCAAGAGGCAGAAAGCTCACGGCTCAAAGACAGACTGAGTATAGACATGAGACCCTCTTACCAAACAGTGCCTGAACAGAATAGGGCATGTTTAGCATCTTAGCTATATGAAAAGTATAAGTAGGTGGACTGTGATCCAAACATGCCTGAGCATACACATGAGACCCAATTAAAAAAAAATAATGAAGGAACAAAAGTCCAAGGATGTGGTTCAAGACACAGATGGGCTACCTACCAAATGCAAAGCCCTGAATCCAAGTCCCAGTATTATCCCCTCCCCCTTCAAAAATCAAA